AATCAACAGAATCTGTATTTAATTAATTAATTAATTATTTTTATATACAGTACAATCGATGCAAGGAGCATTATACTTGTGGGCTGAAAAAAAAGTTATTTCTCCCTCAATTAAACTACAGTGTCAAAAGACCTGCCACATTCGTCTTCTACTTAGGCGACACAAAATCATAATAATAATCCTTGCATTTGATATAGCGCTTTTCACATCGGGAGGGAGTCCCAAAGCGTTTCACAGAACACACTGTAAAGTGAATTGACTGTATATTTGTGGGCGAACGCGGCAGCCAATTGCGCACAGCAATGTCCCACAAACAGTCGTAGATTGAAAATGACCAATTTCTTATTGTTTTTGGAGGGATTATTAAAATATAGGTTTTGCCCACAAAATGTACAGTTACTACACTTTACTTTACAGTATAATTCTGTGAAGCATTTGAGACGTCTAGAAGATGTGATAAGGCGCTATGTCAAATGCAAGGATTATTATTATTATTCCCAGAATAAGGAAATTCGTCACACAGGCCAATGGCAGGCTTTGAGAATGGTCTCCAATAGGGGGCGCAGCACTTCCTCATCAGGGTGATCCCTGTACAATACAGAGATGTCATATGCAGCGGGCTATTTAATTGCTGTAACCAGGGTTGACAATGATCTACAGGCAGTGATGATTATGGATAAAAGCAGACGACTAGTGAAATCAACAATACATCCTTGTTTAAACCATAAAATCTGTGCCGAGCAAATCAGATGTGGATTGACCCATAGATGCTAAAGCAAAGGCATGTTTGGTTGTCTTACTGCCAATCTGGACTTCAAGAAGGTGAGCTAAAACTGATTCCACAGAGTAACCGGCAAAAGATTTCAAGTGAAAAGAGGCACCAGAGACAAGAGGAGATGCTGATCACTTTGTATCATTCAAACAGAGATTGTGGCTCCCATATCAATCAATTATTGCCCTTCACACAGGGTTGTGTCCCAGAGCATTTTCACTGCATCACAGACAATCCATTTAGATAAACATTTTAGGTAGTTCTGTACAACAATATTTGCTGTTCCAGTCCACAGAAAATCTTGGACAAGGTTTCCAGGCAGGAAGCCTTTATAAGCATAAAACATGTAGCATTTGATTCTGTCCTCATATGATGCCTCTAGCAGGCAAGGAGATTTCCTCTCCAAAGGAGCGGCCCAAGCTCAGTAATCGAGCCTGCAGAAACTATGACGGAGCCAGCAAGGGCCTTCAAATCAAGCAGACCATCGAAGAGGATCTTAATCCTCAGCTAACTTAGATCTAGCACTTCTAAAACAGAAGAGTCGACCAAAGAGCTAGCAAATCATAAGGTTATTATAACATTACAAGAAGTAACAAAGGTGAAACTTTCTGAGATTTCTGAGAAGGTGAAGGCTCAAATGCTGTTAAATTAATAGAAGGGTTGTTACGTTCTATACTCAAAAGACAATTTAGTTGGTATAGAAATAACCGAGTTTAAGCTTAAGCAATGGTGATGATTGTTCACTCTCAATCAACTGAAGATGTTCCGAGTATTTTATGCAAGAACTACGATTCCAAGGTACCACGATTACTTATGACAACTTTTCCCAAGATTGATGTCCAAACAGAGAATGGCAGAATAAAGAGGATTCACCATCAAAGGACATTCGTTATCAACTCCTTTACCTGGCTCGTCTTGAGATCGTAACAGAAGTTAAGACCCACAAAGCCTCACCACTTTGTAAGGAACAGGCTTTCACCTCCATCAAGATCACAGGGTACTTCCGTTCACTCCAACTACAGTGCAGGTTGGATGTTGGGATAAGGGTTAAAGGGAAAAATCATGTTTAATTTAAATGCACTTTTCAGGGCTAACCCCACATCCGTGCCATGACCAGCTCTGCCTTGCCCCACCTCTGCAACATTGCATGTCTCTCACCACAGGGCCGCCAAGACTCTCATCCACCACACCCAGGCACGACTGCACAAACTCCCTGCTTGTTGGCCTCCCCAACTCCTCCCTCTACAGACTGCAGATCATCCAGAACTCTGCAGCCTGTGTCCTAATCTGCGCCAGGCTTCACAACCCTATCACCCCCATCCTCGGCCAGCTGCACCGGTTGCCATCACTCAGAGGATATAGTTCAAGATCCTGCTTCTCACCTTCAGCCTCTCTGCCCCCACTCTCTGGAACTCCAACCCAAAGCCCCTCCACCTCACCCACTCCCTTGCCTTCTTCAAGATGCTCCTCTTCAACCGTGCCTTCGGTCACCCTACCCTTCCCACCCTCCACCCCTCCTGATCCCAACCACCAGCTCAGGTGCAGATCCCTGACTGTCCAGCGCCTTGGAACATCCTCCTGACTTGGAAGGCACTATAGAAGTGTAATTTATTGATGTAGGAGATAATTACAAATTCTGATTCAGCATGTTTAGGTAATGTTCACAGACAGCTCAAAACACCTTACCAAAAGAAAATATTGTCATTATTTCCCTGCTCTATGTTAAATAATAAAAACGGATATTAAAAGCCTATGGAGTGGCAGCTTAATTCTACAACTCTCTATTTTGTCAGCATTCATGAAGGCATAAGAACGATAATTCCTGAATTTAGGACACAGAACTATGAGGAAAGGATAGCTATCCTGAAACTTTATTCTAACACGAGAAAGCTGAGTGCTTCACATTAAAGAGTTTAGATTGAGATTTTTTTTAATGATCAGGCTCAAGACCACACAGCGATAACTTCAGAATAACTACAAAAGAGCGTAAGAAATGCAGAATAATTTTTTTTAGTAAAACAGGCACCTGGAACAAATTACCAGCCTAGGTGGTGGAACAACAAGGTACAAAGGATTTCAAAAACAAACTAGACAAGTTGCTGTCAAGTAAAAGGGTTTGGCATTATTAGATTTAGTGGCAGTTATACCAAGGGAATCTTGTGGGAAATTGGATGAGTAGGCTAGGTGGACAGATGGTCAATTCCTGACTGAAAATGTTGCTTTCCGATTTGTAAAGTGTCTCTATGGAATCTTACATAACCTCAAATACTGAAGTGATGTGAACAACATGGATTGTGTATGCTTTCTATGAATTGGCATAATTAGAATCAGTGACCTGAAGTTTACAAACTTTTTTTTAAATTCAAGATAGTCACTTGTGAAAACTGCCACACTAAGAATGAAGGAGACAGAAAACTGACTCAAGATTCACAACAAAATCCATGGCATGAAGAAACATTTGGCCAAATAATCACACCAATAATACAAAACATATGCTGCATCCCACTCTCTTAATGTCCCTCACGATCAAAGGACGGACATTTGCTAGCAACGTCTTTACCAGGCCCAACTTGAAATCTTAAGGAATCCGTTCATTCCAGCCTATACTTTACAGCCACTGAACAAGGTAACAAGTGGCCTACTCTGTACCTTACATTCCCTGACCAGTCTCTCTCACTCAATCCCATTTACAGCATATTTTGCTCAGTCCCAGTTACAGCATATTTCTTAGGAACTCCCCAATCACACCAAAAAGGAAAACACGGACCAAGCAAACTCTCCAGAACCAAATACGGGTTTAAAAGTTATGCCCAGGCTCAGAAGGGAAGAGTAGAGCAAAGCACCACCCCACCATTCGTCTATCCTCCTGGTAAGCATGTGTGAGTACCGGAATGCCAGACATGGCTATAACAACTTCCATCAATCAATAACACTCACTGTTCATTCCACTTTACTGGCACTGAACAAGGTAACAGTGGGCTCAATTGTACCTTACAGTCTCTCTCGCTCTATCCCATTTACAGCACAGAAACCACAGGACTTCCCCTCTTCTGTCTCCCTATGGGTATCCTCCCGACGTGAAAGGCACTATACAAATGTAATCTTGTTGTTGTGTGCCCATTTAAAGTTTATGGAAACTGTAAGTGTTACAGCTCCATACCTAGTCTCTGTCTGATCCCATTTACAGTATGTAAAGCCCCCCCACCACCATCCATCCCTCAGGTCTCTCATAGAAACAGGAGTAGTCATTCAACTCCTTGAGCCTGTGGCACTATTCTCTACAATCATGACAACACAACACGATTATATTTGTATAGCGCCTTTCATGTCGGGAGGATGTCCCAAGTTGCTGGACAGTGTACAGCATTTCAGACCTGAGCTGGGGTCACGGAAGGAGAAGGGAGGTGACCGGTGGCATGGTCGAAGAGGAGAGTTTTGAGGCAGGACTTGAAGGAGGCTAAGGAGGAGAGTTTTGAGACAGGACTTGAAGGAGGGTAAGGAGGGGGCGAGGCGGAGTGATTGGAGGATGGAATTCCAGAGGTTGGGGGTAGAGTGGCTGAAGGCTCTCCTGCCAATGGTGGGGCGGGTGGGTCGGGGGGCGTGGAGCAGGCCAGAGCCGGCTGAGCGGAGGGAGTGGGCGGGCTGTTAGGGAGTTAGGAGGTCGAAGAGGTAGGGTGGGGGGGGCGAGGCCATGGAAGGCTTTGTAGGTGAGGACCAGGATCTTGAACGCTGGTCTATACCTCAACTCCTCACTTGAATCTCTTGATACCCTAACCTAACAAATATCTATCCACTTCAGTCTTGAAAATGTGAATGGATCCAGCATCCACAGCCTTTTGGGGAGGGAGATCGTCCTAGATTTCCACTACTTTTTGGGAGAAAAGCTGTCTCCTGACTTCACTGGCTTAGCTCCAGTTTTAAGTCGATGCACCCTTGTTCTGGATTCCCCCACCACATGAAATAGTTTCTCTGCCTGTCCAGTCTGAGCCCCATCTACAGTGTGTAACCCCCAGTCTCCCCCTGTCCAGTCTGAGCCCCATCTACAGCCTGAGCCCCATCTACAGTCTGTGACCCCCAGTCTCCCCCTGTCCAGCCTGAGCCCCATCTACAGTCTGTAACCCCCAGTCTCCCCCTGTCCAGCCTGAGCCCCATCTACAGTCTGTAACCCCCAGTCTCCCCCTGTCCAGCCTGAGCCCCATGTAAGTACGTGTGCACAGTGTGAACGTACAGTGCTACATCTGCCACCTCCACCTCCCAGGCCCAACAAACGCGGAGAGGAGAGGAGAGCGAAGCCTTCCCCCCACACCAGCACTGAGTACCCAGGCCCGAGCACTAGGCCTCGCTCCCTGCGACCAGGGCGGAAGCCACGCTCTCTCCGCTCCACCCCCGCCCCACTGTCCCTGACAGCACATCGGGGGCCCGGAGTCGGGGTGAGCCGAGCTCTCGAGAGGCGGACGCCCAGAACGGGGGGGTGTGGGCGACTCCAGGCCCTAATGGCGGCGGCGGCGACGAGGCGAGGAGTGAAACCCCGGGGGGCGGGGAGAGGAAGGGGGAGGCTGTCCTCTTCCTCCTCCTCTCTCTCTCGCCACACGAGGGGCAGCTCGTGAGAGAGTGAGCGTGTGTGTGTGTGTGTGAGGGGCACCGAGCGAGCGAGCGAGCGGCGCGGTTAAAACAATGGCGACGGCGCGGGGGGGGGGGGGGGGCGTGGAACATTCTGGCAAACGCGCCGCCCTCCCGCGCGCTCTCTCTCTCTCTCTCTCTCCACACGGAGCCGTGTGTGTGTCCGTCCGTGAACGCTCACGGTTCTCACCCGTGAACAATGGTAACGGCTGTTAAAACGGGGCGGGCGGTGAGTGAAGGCGGTGAGAGTCGCTGTGTGGCTCTTACCCCCGGGGCCGGTGCTGCTGCTCACTGGCTGCCGGTGACGGGCTGCATATCTCGCGCTCGCTGCGCTCGAGCGGCCGCTTTTTTTATTACTAAGCGCCTGCGCGGGAGGGAGGGGGAGGGAGGGAGAGAGGAACGAGCTCCTCTGACTGGGTTATGTGCCGCCCCCCGCCATTGGTCGCTCACCACACCCCCCCCCCCAGCTGGTCGGGCTTCTCCAATCGGACCGGCCGTACCTTGCGTCGGCGGCGAAGGAGCGCCTCTCCGCTGGGTTATGGGCCGCCCCCCGTCATTGGTCGCTCACCACACCCCCCCTCCCAGCTGGTCGGGCTCTTCCAATCGGAGCGGCCGTACTTTGCGTCGGCGACGAGGGCGTTCCTCTGACTGGGTTATGAGACGCCTCCCTCCATTGGTCGCTTACCCCACCCCCAGCCCCCATCTGGTCCGGCTCCTCCAATCGGAGCGGCCGTACCTTGCTCCGGCTGGCGGACGGTGGGTGGGAGGGGGCGGCTGTGGCGCAGCGTTGCGGGAATAGAGCACTTTCACCCGCCGCCATCTTTTTTAATGACCTTTGACCCATGAAGGGGGTAACAATGATGCCAATAATCCACGCGTTTGATACCACGTGTTCGAGACGTCTCAAAGCGCTTCTCAGAATATTACTGTAAAGTGCTGCAAAGTGACCGTTTTTTTTGGGGGGAGGGGGTGAAACGTATGTCCTGCGAAGCGCTTTGAGGCGTCCCAATTGATAACAAAATGTAATTTTGTCGTTGTTGTCTCACCGGCGTGACAAGGCGCTGTATCAGATTCAAGGGTTATTAATACTGTAAAGTGCAGTGACTGTGGGGGAAGAGCAGCAGCCGCGGGGTGGGGGGGGGGGGAGTGTCAGTCAGGGCAATCCCTCAGAGAGAAACTCTCTTCTCTTTTCGAACAGCGCCCCGACATCTTTAACGTCCACCCGAACAGGCAGACGAGACCTCCAAACGTCTGCTACAACAACAACAACAACAAGATTCCATTTATAAAGCGTCTTTCACGTCAGGAGGACGTCCCAAGGCGCTGCACAGTTGGGTCATGACCCGAGCAGGGGGGAAATGGTCAGGGTGAGGGGAGGGAAGGGAGGGAGCAAGGAGGGGGGAAATGGTCAGGGTGAGGGGAGGGAAGGGAGGGAGCGAGGAGGGGGGAAATGGTCAGGGTGAGGGGAGGGAAGGGAGGGAGCGAGGAGGGGGGAAATGGTCAGGGTGAGGGGAGGGAAGGGAGGGAGAGAGGAGGGGGGAAATGGTCAGGGTGAGGGGAGGGAAGGGAGGGAGCAAGGAGGGGGGAAATGGTCAGGGTGAGGGGAAGGAAGGGAGGGAGCGAGGAGGGGGAAGAGAGTCGAGAGGGGAGCTGAAGGCTACTCGCAGTAATATAATAATATCACCATAATAATGCACAACACTCGTGGCTTTAATGTGGTTGAACCATCTCAAAGCCTTGCAGCAGGCGCTTGCTGTCAAGTGTCGCGTCACGAGTTATCTTTGCTGGCTCAGTTGAGTAAAAGCACTCCCGCATCTCTTGCAGAGGAGCATTAGCGACAACCTGCATTGTTATAATAATAATCCTCGCACTTGATCCATCACATCTTCAAGATGTATCAAAGCGCTTTGCAGTATATATGTAAAGTGAATTGACGGTATATTTTGTGGGCGAAACGCGGCAGCCAATTGCGCACAGCAGCGTCCCCACAAACTGCCGTGGATTGAGTGACCAAATTATTAATTTTTTGAGGGATTATTATACCTGGAAAAGCGATCCACCAGCCGGGTTCCTAATTACTGCTAGGCAAACAAGTGTTTGGAGTGAGGAAACTTGCCCAACGTTTCGCCCTGCCGGGAATTGGATCCAGGTCGTCTCGCTTGAGATGCGAGTGCTGTAACCACTAAGATATTGTATACTGAAATGCTTCATTCATTTTTAAAAAAATAAATAAAGATACACAACCAGATATTAAATTAAGACATGGTTTTATTAACGGCTTGAAATAGCTTTTTATTCCCGTACAAACGTAAGTGTACAAACCCTTCCCGAACCTTTACAGAAAATATACAGGACTCTGCCAACTCTTGTAGTAAAAAGATTTACCATATAAAAGTCATTGTATCATCTAACCACGGCCATATTTCTTTGTTTTGGAATAAGTACATCTCAATGGGAGTCAGAAAGTCAAGGGCATTTTCTATATATATATAAATATATTCTCATCCAAATGATCTCTAGAGTGGGGATAAAACACGACACAGAGTGCCATGCACGGCAATGTGTACCTAACATACCATACAGCTCCTCTTTTCCCGTCAATACCATGCACAGTCCTGTGTTCTACATTTAAATATAAAACCTATCTCCTTTTCTTATATAAAGCAATTATTTTAGTGTTCAATTATTTTCCTAATTTCTTTCCCGCCCGTTGAGGGCCGGACCTCAGCCTCTCCCTGTTGGGGTTAGCTCCTGGAGTACTGGTTGCCCTTTGGGACAACAACAACTTGCCTTTATACAGCATCCCCCCCACACAGGGTAGTGTCCCAGAGAGCTTGACAGTGGTGGAGCGCGATGCCAAGCCTGGGGGAGGGGACCATAGGCATGGTCTTCAGGACCTAAAGATGAGGAAGGAGGGGGAAAGGTGGAGCTCGAGACTACACCCCCACCCCATGTAGGGGTGTGTGTTGGTGTGTGTATATATGAGTGTGTGTGTTGGTGTATGTGTTGGTGTACGCGTATGGATGTATGTGTTGGTGTATATGTCTGGGGGCGTCCGTGCGCGTGTATGAGGGTGTGGGTGTTGGTGAATGTTTGTGTGTACGTATGAGTGTGTATACGTGAGGTGTGGCAGTGAGTGTCGGCCGGCCACTCAACCCCTCACCAGTAGAGGGCGTCACAGCCGAGCCAGATACAGATACAATCAGCAGCGGCACCAGGAGCAGGAACTCTGACTGCTTTTCCCAACTGAGACCAGCACGGACCGGGGATTCGAACCCAACACCCACCGTGGGGGCTGCCCCCAGAGACAACATGGCTGTATATCAAGATGTCGCTTTTTCCTCTTTACGTTTGGTGAAAATCAGCAACAATTGAAGCTCAGTTGATCTTTTTTTTGACAAAAGTACGTGAAAGGAATTCTCTGAGCCGGGCGCGGAGACCGTATACAGCTCACGAGAAACTCACCGCTCCCGAAGGGGTGTCGTTCATGCCCTGGCACCTCCCTACCTCTCCCACCTTCTTACCCCCCACAACGCACACCTCTCAACTGGCTCCAGCCTCCTGCATGTCCCTCGTGCTCTCCATTCCACCATTGCCTGCCGCGCTTTCAGCCACTACTCCCTGAAACTCTGGAACACTCTTCCTCTATCCTTCACCTTGCTCCTTCCTTCCCCATCTTCAGGTCGCACTTGAAGACCTTCCTATTTGACCAGTGCATATGGTCACCTCCCTTTCCCCCCGGGTTGGGGTTGTGCTCTACCACTGTTAAGCGCTCTGGGACGCCAGCCTGTGTGAGCAGAGCCGTGTGAATGCAAGTTTTGTTGTCTAAAGCATCCCAAGCTCAGAAGCGGTCCATTTATATATTATTATAATAATAATAATCCTCGCATTTGGTACAGCCCCTTATCACGGCTTTGAGACGTCTCAAAGCGCTTCACAGGATACACTGTAAAGTGAATTGACCGTATATTTTGTGGGCGAAACATGGCAGCCATTTATGCACAGCAGCGTCCCACAAATGGTCATGGATTGAATGACCAAATTATTATTTTTTTGTAGGGATTATTACCCCCAGAAAAGCGATCCACCGATCGACTAACAACCGGGTTCCTACTTACTGCTAGGCAAACAGAGGCGTGTGGAGCAAGGAATTTTGCCCAACATTTCGCCCTGCCCGGGAATCAAACCCAGGTCCTCTCACTTGTGAGGTGAGTGCTCTAACTACTAAGCTACAGGACTCCACAATATAGCGGATTTATATAGTGCTCCTCACACAGGGTAGCGTCCCAGAGCATTTGACCGGTTGACTAAGACCTGCCGGGTGCCCAGTGACAATCTGTAAGGGTTCATTCCATTTCATCCCGAGCTGGGTCAAAGCAAACCGTTCTTTCTTCGTTTGAAAGAGAAATGCTTCCAGCATTTGCAAGCAGATAAGAAAAAAGGACCATTGTTGGTCTCAAGCAGAAACAACATGGCTGGTTTCAGTGTAAAGTACTCTCCTCCTCACCCCAACTCACCCCACTCTCCATTTCCCATCCGTTTGACAAACATACATCCGCACATCACACACACGCAGGGATATAGAACACGGAACATTCAACACCGCCTGTGGTGGCATTCACAAGCAAGATCCCAGTTTCTCCAGCTCAAAGTTGCCGGCTGATATTCCGGGTGGGGGAGCGGAGGAATAGTCACTGACACACACTCAGACACACAGACACCTTTGGTAAAAGAAAGTCAAAACAGGAAGGAAAGACCAGGAGCGAATGGCGCAGAGAAACAGGTTTGAAGCCCGGTCACAGCACACACTGACACCATCAGCTCCACACTGACTGCATCAGTGAGTCCATGTCCAGATGTAGCAGGACAATCAAACAGTAGATGGCCATCCAGATCAGGATAAAGAGGTACGGAGGGCCGGGAGGCCGTTGGGGGCCAGAGGCAGGGTCCTCAACCCTCTGGGCCAGTGACGAGAGCGGCACAGCTTCCTGGAGACCCTCCTCTTCCAACCTTGTCCCTGAGCCGTCACTGGTAGGAAACAACCACGTTCATCAGTCAGTCGGCACAAGCACTGGCAATCTTCATCCTCAATCACACAGCCTCACCATAGACTGTCTCTGCCTCGTGTACACACATACACGGACACACACACGCTAACATGCACACAGAGACACACACAGAGACAACACACATACGCACATGCTGATACACTCACTCACACTCAAAGACACACACACTCATACGGACAGACAGACAGACACACTCACATACTCATACACACATAGGCACACTCTCACACTCGAAACACACACTCATACAAACACACAGACACACATACTCATACACAAACACACAGGCACACATACACACACAGACAGGTATAGAGCAGGAAGTCACACTGCTAACCTGGTCCGCTTGCGAAGCCCCTCACGAGTTGTCGAATTCTCCAGCCACACGGCACTGTGAACGGCCTTTGTAACCACAATCGGCTCAGGGCTGGGGGGAGCCTGATGGAGACTGGGCTCCATTTCCCGGGCAATCGTGGTCCTGGTGGAATTGGATGAGCTGGAGAGAGGGAGAGAGAGACAGAGAGAGAGAGGAACATCATTTCACTCTTGTGGCAAAGCTTCCCGAAAAGTCTCAACCGAGCAAAAATTCCCAGCTCCCAGCATTCAAGGTTCATCCTTTCCTTCGACAGCCCGTCAACATCACAATGTCCGAAAGCGCCTCTCATCTCACTGGCGATCAGTCATGTGTAGTGACTGTTTGTTGTAAATCGTAACAATCCTTGCATTTGACACAACGCCTTATCGCGTCTTCGAGACGTCTCAAAGCGCTTCGCAGGATATACTGTAAAGTGTAGTGACGGTATATTTTGAGGATGAAACGCGGCAGCCAATTGGGCGCAGCAGCGTCTGGCAAACAGTCGTAGATTATTGAGTTGCCAATTTTTTTTAAGGGATTATTACCCCTGGAAAAACTATCCACCAATTGACTGACAACCGGTTTCCATACTTACATCGTAAACGATTAGCAAGAATGGGGAGAGTGATGGGAGGCAAATATATCTACGGTGGTCTCACCTCTCTGGGGCTGACCCCTGGACGCCAGGTACTGTGTGTCTGTCTCTGTTGCACGTGTCGGCGGTGTTGTCCAGTTGGCGGGCGTGCCCTCCACCTTCTTCGTCCCACGTCTCCCCGGCCCCCCGCTCCAGTACATCACAGATCTCCTCCTCCACCTCCTGTAACAAGGTCAGAAAGTCAGCCAAGCTCAGACGTCCATCGCCCTTCTCTCCCCATCGTGTCTGTGCTGGTGCTCGCTCCCCCACTGGAGCTCTCTACTCTAACCCCATTCCCTGCTCTCTCTCTCTCCCCATCGTGTCTGTGCTGGTGCTCGCTCCCCCACTGGAGCTCTCTACTCTAACCCCATTCCCTGCTCTCTCTCTCTCTTCCCATCGTGTCTGTGCTGGGGCTCGCTCCCCCACTGGATCTCTCTACTCTAACCCCATTCCCTTTCTCTCAGATCTGATAGATGTTCTGGACTGTGCTGTCCAACAACCCAGAACATCACACATATTGAAGCGTTACCTCCGAATTGTCGCTGTTTCCTGCCTCCTCTTCAGGCTCCAGTATTTGAAGATCCTCGTACTTCGGCACTGCCATCCCAGCTTCTAACTCCATCTCAATCCTCTGTCCACTGGCTGCTGGGGCAGGTGCAACTCCAGACACCTCCAGCTTTGAGGGAGAAAAGCCCCCCTTGGGTGGGATAGAGGAGATCCTCGCAGGTGGGAGAGAGGGTGAGAGAGAGGAGGTCTTTATTGGTGGGGGAGAGTAGGTCTTTATGGGTGGGGGAGAGGGTGGGGGAGTGGAGGTCTTTATGGGTGGGGGAGAGGAGGTCTTTATGGGTGGGGGAGAGGAGCCCCTCACGGGTGGGGCAGAGGAGACCCAGGTGGTTGTGGCAGAGGGTGGGGGAGTGGAGCCCCCTGTGGGTGGGGGAGGGCAACCATGTGGCTCACTGTGAGCGAGTTGCCCTGTGTTCCCCAGTGTGAGCCCCTGCTCGGATTCGGGGGTGCCCAGGGCATTGTCAGAGCGAGTGGGGCTGAGCTCCGGGGCTGACAGTGTGCCGCTCAGCTCCGAGCACGACTGGTAGGCCTCGTCTGTCAGTGGCGACGAGTCCTTGTCCATGTGCGAGTAGTACAGTGTCACACGCTCTTCCTCATCATCCTCCTCCTTCTCTTCCTGCCCCGACAAAGTCTCCAATCGCTCGGAGACTTGGTAGTGAGGGTAGTACAGCTGAAGCCTCCTGGACACATCCTCATCGTCCACCTGGGTCTCATTGTCCAACGGCTCATCATTCCAGGGAGGTGACTCTCGGCCAGTCATTGTAAAGGGCCGGTTAGAGGGATCCTTAGAGCCCTTTACAATGACGTCTTGGGAGACACCTCCCTGGGATGACGAGCCAGGCCTCTCCTCTGTCTCTCCGCTCTCCACAGAGAGCATCCGGCCGGGATCGCCGGCAGTCTGGCTGTTGATAGGATCTCTCCAGCGAAGGGATAGGTTTTGGGTTTGAGGTTGGGGGGAAGGTCCTTCCAAGGTCTCGTCATCCGAGCAGGAGCCAGGCCAACATTCAGGGAGAGACGGGTGGAGTTCAGCATGCTTTGCCAGCTTGGGCGCTGGTGGACCTGGCGATGGTGGGCTACTGAGATCTTCAGAAGAAGAAATCCCCAACTTCAATTTTCGACTCTCGGACCTTTCTGGACGGAGCACGACATAGATCTCCTCCACTGACTCGATCAGGCTGTCGCTTTGGTCAGAGAGATCTTCCAAAGACAAGTCACATTCTGCAACCGATGGTTCAGACTGAGAGGACCTCGGGCTGACCTCAGTTCTGTTGCTGACAGACTCTTGCCCGGCCAGAGAGCAATCTTGGGCCACAGCCGGTTGGATCTCTTGTCCCCACAATGGGAAATCCAAATGGTCAGAGGAGAATCCCGGCCCAGGTTGCGAAGGAAGTTCTCTGGCCTCCAGCGCAGAACGAGCCTGGACCTCTGGGCTGGTTGGACCAGAGGAGGTGTTGGTTACAGCATCTCGCTGCCCGAGGGGAGCCTGAGGGAGGGTAGCCTGAGGGAGGGTAGCCTGAGGGAGGGGAGCCTGAGGGAGGAGAACCTGAGGGAGGGGAGCCTGAGGGAGGGGAGCCTGAGGGAGGGGAGCCTGAGGGAGGGGAGCCTGAGGGAGGAGAGCCTGAGGGAGGAGAGCCTGAGGTAGGAGAGCCTGAGGGAGGGGAGCCTGAGGGAGAGAAGCCTGAGGGAGGGGTGGTGACAACAGGTCTGCCACATTCATCTGAGTGGTTCGTAACTGGGCTTCACTGGAATCTTCCAGAACATCTTCCTGTGGCCAGAGAAAATGGAATATAATGATTAGTATAATAATAATAATTCTCGCATTTGATACAGCGCCTTATCACGTTCTCGAGACAACAACAACTTGGATTTATATAGCGCCCTCCACGCTGGACAGCGTCTCAGAGCGCTTTACGGTAACGGATCCCGAGGCCGAGCCAGGGGGAGGGGGAGGAAGGTGACCAAAGGTGCGGTCGAAAAGAAAGGTCTTCAGCAGAGACCTGAAAATATGAAGAGAGGGAGCGAGACAAAGGGAGTGAGGAAGGCAGTTCCAGATCCTCGGGGCGTAGTGGCTGAAGGGGGACGAGGAGGAGATGTCTCAAAGAGCTTCACAGAATATACTGTAAAGTGGACTGGTTGGGTATTTTGTGGGCGAAACGCGGCAGCCAATTGCGCACAGTAGCGTCCCCACAAACAGTCATGGATTTTTTGTAAAGTTACACCACGTACCTCATCCACTTCAGGGAAATGCTCGAGAAACTGGGAGACGTAGGTCATGATGGACTGTTCTTCCGGGGAGTCCACCATCACATCTGCAGAGGAGACAGAGAGTCCAACCACAAGGTCCACGTGGATGAAGAAGGCCCTTTACTGATCTCCTCCCTCCAGAACACCCATCCCATCGACCACCCACAACTGTATCAAGCTGCTGTGTGAATGAGTCCCAGCGTCCTGGCCTCTACCACAGTGGAGTGTATCCCTGACCTGGGGGTGTAGATGGACAGTGTAGAGGGAGCGTTACTGTGTCTCTAACCCTGACCTGGGAGTGTGGACGCACAGTGTAGAGGAGCTTTACTGTGTCTCTAACCTGACCTGGAGTGTGGACGCACAGTGTAGAGGAGCTTTACTGTGTCTCTAACCCTGACCTGGGAGTGTGGGCGCACAGTGTAGAGGAGCGTTACTGTGTCTCTAACCCTGACCTGGGAGTGTGGACGCACAGTGTAGAGGAGCGTTACTGTGTCTCTAACCCTGACCTGGAAGTGTGGACGCACAGTGTAGAGGAGCTTTACTGTGTCTCTACCCCTGACCTGGGAGTGTGGACGCACAGTGTAGAGGGAGTGTTACTGTGCCTCTAACCCTGACCTGGGAGTGTGGACGCACAGTGTAGAGGGAGCGTTGCTCTGGTGAGATAGTACCTTCTGGCTCCAGTAGGGGGCGGATTCCCAGGCTCAGGTGAGCCACTCTGAAAGCCTCCTGGATGTTGTCGCGGCTGGACCTCTCCAGGGCTCTCCTCATATCCACCAGGCCAGGCTCGATGGTCTTGATGAGAGCCAGGAAGGCCAGGCCACTGCGCCAGCTCCTCCCAAAGTCCTGCACGGCCACTCCGTACCTGCGGCCGGTAAAACCACACACCTGGCTGGTCACCGGCGGCAACAACACACCGACTGACCAACTCTCCCCCCCAGGCTCCTGGCTCTGTGTCCCAATGCCAAGCGTCATCCCTCCTGATCTCTCACCAGAGCGGCTTCGCTGGTCTCCGCAGCTCCACTATCCACAAACTCCAGTTCATCCATTACTCATATTCACCAACACTAAGCTCCGTCCCCCCCATCGCTCCGGTCCTCACCAGCTCCACTGGTTCCCTATCACCGAACGGATCGGATCGACTTCCAAGATCCTCACACTCGTCTTCAAATCCCTCCGTGGCCTGGCACCTCCCTACCTCTCCGACCCGATAACTCCCCAACCCACGACAGGTCGCCTGCTCCGGCTCGTCCCTCGTGCTCCCCGTTCCACCATCGGCGGGGCCGCGCTTTCAACCCATAACCCTCCCGAGACGCTGGAACTTTCTATCTCTATCCCTCCGCCTTGTCCCTTTCCTTCCCCATCTTAAGGTCGCGCCCGAAGGGAGTCCTTCCTCTTCGACCGTGCCTAGGGTCACTTCCCCCTCCCCCCCCGGCTCGGTGTCGTGCTCTGGGGCGCTATCCTGTGTGAGGGGCGCTGTGTAAATGCAAGCTGTTGTTGTTCCCCACAACCTCCCGACTCCTGAGGCCAAAGCCCAGCTGAGTGAAGAGCGAGTGCAGCTCCTCCATCCCATCCCATCCCATCCCCACTCCCTCCCCATCCCCACCCCCCTTCTCCCTGTAACGCACTTCCTGGTTCTCCGCTGCACGAACTTCAGGAGGGCTTTAATGGTTTTCCTCTGCTCCCTGAAGGGAGTTGGTGGGGCTTTGTCCCTGGGTGTGGGGGAGTGGGCAGCCAGATCGGGGTCACTCCCGCTGTGGGCGGACGACAGGCTGGAGCAGGAGGAGGAGAAGATCTTCAGGTGGACGGTGGCTTCCTTGATCTGAGAGAACATCAACAGGACGTGTCAGCGAGACCCGGCCACTGATTATTATTATTATTATTATCCGCCCCCTCCACCGTCCTCCCTCCCCCACCTCCGTCCTCCTTCCCCCACCCCAACGCTGACTCCAGCCACTCAACCAGGAGGTGGAACCACCACCACAGCCAATAATAATAATAATAATAATAATCCTGGCATTTGATACGGCGCCTCATCAAGTCTTCGAGACGTCTCAAAGCGCTTCACAGGATATAACGGAAAGTGGAGTGACTGTGTATTTTTCTCTCGACGACGTGATACGCAGCTGCATCCAATGCCTTTATTATTGTTGTGACTTCTGCGGTACTTGTTGGAGTGGCTGCTTCACCCACCCGTCAGCGTGGAGGCGTTTACAGGGTTTATTACCTGGAAGTAGAGGATGATGTTCCAGATCAAACCCAGGATCATGGCCGGGTTCCCATTGGCAATCTCCGCAGCGTCAATGCTTACCAGCTTCACCTGCAACACCAGCACAGCCCTGGTTAGTGCCCACACACTCTGGTTAGTGCCCTCACACACTCTGGTTAGCGCCCACACACTCTGGTTAGTGCCCTCACACACTCTGGTTAGCGCCCACACACTCTGGTTAGTGCCCACACACTCTGGTTAGCGCCCTCACACTCTGGTTAGTGCCCACACACTCTGGTTAGTGCCCACACACTCTGGTTAGCGCCCACACACTCTGGTTAGTGCCCACACACTCTGGTTAGCGCCCTCACACTCTGGTTAGTGCCCACACACTCTGGTTAGCGCCCACACACTCTGGTTAGCGCCCTCACACTCTGGTTAGTGCCCACACACTCTGGTTAGTGCCCACACACTCTGGTTAGCGCCCACACACTCTGGTTAGTGCCCACACACTCTGGTTAGTGCCCTCACACTCTGGTTAGTGCCCACACACTCTGGTTAGCGCCCTCACACTCTGGTTAGAGCCCACACACTCTGGTTAGTGCCCACACACTCTGGTTAGTGCCCTCACACTCTGGTTAGAGCCCACACACTCTGGTTAGCGCCCTCACACTCTGGTTAGGGCCCACACACTCTGGTTAGTGCCCACACACTCTGGTTAGCGCCCACACACTCTGGTTAGCGCCCACACA